TCGTTGGGGAAGAACGCTTGTTTGATTAGTCAACCGAAAAAACCGGTTCGCTTTTTTTTTGGAAATAATTTAAAGTGTTTTGATTTAAGCAAAATGTTGGAAAAAATTATTGCCGAAGATGCTACACAAGTGTGATGTTGTGTGGGAAAATTTTGCTTTGCTCAAAGTTTTCAAGTATGTCAAGGAAAACCGCTTAAGGCGTGGAAAAGTTAATGGCTTTAAAATTAAAAAAATAATAATAATAAAAATGTTAAAAAACAACAAGGAAAAAGAGCCTAATATAGAAACAGCAAAAATCTCAAAAACCAACAAAAAAATCAAGCGTACATACGAGTATTTTTAAATCCATACAAAAAAAATCAAGCGTACATACGAGTATTTTTAAATCCATACAAAATTTTTTTTAATTTTTATAATTTCTTTTAAAATTTTTTCCATATTTTTAGTCAGTAAAAAATCATATTTATATCGATAAAATAATGAAACTGTCAGTTTTTTTGATTATTTTTCAACACAAAATTTTAAATGAAAATAAAAATTTGTTTGTTAAAATTTTTAGGTTTTTGAATATTTTTTCAAAGGAAAACACATTTTTAGATCGATTAAAAGCTGGCAATGTCAGTTTCCTTTGAATATTTTTCAACATAACATTTTTTAAATCAAGATAAAATGTTTTTGATTCAGACTTTTGTTTAGTAATAAATATCATACTTATATACTTCTATCAGCAATTGTAAATGTCAGTTTTCGTAAGATTATTTTTCAATACCATTTTTTTTTAATAAAAATAAGAAATTTTCTGCTCAACATTTTTTGGTTTTTAAATTTTTTGTTCTGTAATTTATAGATTTTCCATAAACACATATTTTATCGGTCAAAAAATGTAAATATTTTTGTTTATTTATATTTTATAAACTTCTTTTAATCTTTTGTTCAGCGTTAAAAAGGTTTTTTGATTGTTCTAATTGATGAAAAATTTGCAGGGTTTGATATATTTATATAATTGATTTTTAATAGTTTTTTTTCTATTTGATAATTTGTATTTTAATTTTCCAGTTCTGCAAGCTCTCATTTTTCTAAATTTTCTTTTCTTAATAGTTTGGCTACCGTAGATTAATCGCTTTTATACAAACGAAAGACTTAAGCTGCGAACCTAACTGTTTGTACTTATGCGATTGAACTGTAATCAACCAAGGAAAGCTAATTAAATCCCAACAAAATTGCTATCAAACACAAGAAATGATGTTCAAAAATGTAAACGTAAAATTAAGGATTTAGAAAAGACTATACTTATTTTCAAATGCTAAGCTATAGACTTTTGTGGCTTTAAACATACGATAATGTCCTGAACTCTATCTCTGCTTGATGAAAAATTGAAAATTCACACAGCAAGTGAGCACCTAACCGGAAAAAAGTGTTTTAATATTTTTAATTTTATTTGTTTCTTCTAATTTTTAACGCAGTTTGGCTTACACTCACAGTTTTCTTTACTTTAACACACATATTTGATATTTCAAAATCACTACTTTGTTTTTACTCACCAGGATGGAAGGCAGCTGGTTGTGTGAATATCGCTGCACTGGTGCTGCTTATGCAACTGACAGCAATTACAACAGCCAAAAAGACCAGAAACACTTTAAGTGAGCACATTTTTTTTTTAATTGAGATTTTTTGCTTTGTAAAATATTTTTCTTTAAAGCAAATGCTAAAGGCGGCTCTTGGTTTTATCTAAGCGCACACTTTAAAACAATTTTTCAAAAACTAAGTTCTTTTTAATACACAATTTTTGCGATTTAAAATTTTGTAAAAATTATTTTTATTTTTTTCAACTTTTGTTTTAGCTTTCTTGCTTAATTTTGCTTCAGCTTAGATGATGCGTTTACGTTGAGATCGAGTTTTCAACTGAATTCAACATCGAACCGGCGCTCATATTTAAACCAAATGTTCGCAACTCTCCATGCTGATTTGAGCGCGCCATATTAATGTAGTTGTTATTGTTGGTATTGCTGTCGCTTTTGTTTAGCATTTCATTTTGTTTACTACTATCGCTTGCCGGTATGTGAGCACGAATATTTGTTTTTTTTTGCACGTCAGCAAAAGCAAGCATGCCAATAGGATTGAGCGAAAGAGCAACGCGCTCGTATGGCAATCGAGAAAAGTAGAAAAGAGTAGAAAAATTGTGTTGGAAAAAAAAATATAACAAGAAATTGCTTATAAAAAATCGACAAAATCCGTGACGTGCTGCTGCTTAACAGCTAGGTAAACAAAATTCCAATGCCGCAAAAAAGAGTGGTTTAAGAACAAGAAAGAAATGGAGAAGTCGTGACGAGAAGAATCGAGTAAATGGACACACATACATACGCTTATGTGTATATTTACATGGCAGGGAATTTAACGAGACGAGACCTGAGTTAAACTATTTTGTTTTTTTTTCGAATGAAAATTAGTAGTGCTTCCAGAACAAATGATCTTTTCATAGATGAATCCCACACAATATGCTTTGTTTGAGCGTCACTCCTTTAAAATAAGCATTTTCGTAGAAGTATAATAAAAATGTACTCATAGCACGGTTATTTTTGCATTCAAAAGTAGTTCTAAAAACATGAAGTATTTAATTCGCTTTTAGTATAAAGGCGTAAAACACAGCAAGAACGCTTTCTTTGTTGATGGTTTGAATCAAAAATAATAAGCGATTTTTTGGTATAGCTTGATAAGTAGTAGAATAAAGACCAAAGTAGTCACAGTATTTTCTTAATTTTCACCTCTTCTCTTCTTAATTGTCCACCCTTCAAAATGTGACTAAAATTGAGCTTTCTATGCCGACGGTATTTTTATAGCTATCTCTGGTAAACACATCTCAACATTGACCGATCTTATTCAAAT